ATAATCCAAAATGTTATCAAAAAGTAGCCTTCCCATTACGAGGTGATATTTGACTCCTCTAACTTTATTAAAAGTATGTCATCTTTTGTCAAATTCTTTAAAAAAAATTATATTTTATAAGCTTTTTAAAACTTGTAATTAAAACAACAGAATAAGAACAAGTAGAATAAGATTAAGTTACCAATCAAATGAAATCAGTATTAAAAAAATGATTTGTACTACAGAGGTGGCACAGAAGAACACAAAAGTGGCTTGGTGTACTTTCAGACATTTAATGAGGCTCAGAAGTGGCATGAGTGCAATTAAATCCATGATGATATTAATGTTTTAAATATAGAAATATTAAATGATTTAAATAACTGAAAAGATACTTTAAAAATGAAACAAACTGCCAGCAGGTGGAGGCAAGTCAGTGAATTTATCACTGAATCATTCATTCAATTGAATCTCAAATGGAGATGCGCTGTGTCTTTGTTTTAAACTATTTTCGACAACGAAATGGAGCAAAATCAGACAATAGTGTTATAGTCAGACAATGTAAGTCACTTAATATTAACTTCTTGTTTATTGAACTGTTGTATTAAATCAGTTATCACATTTACAAACTCCCTTAAAAATCATTAAAAGCTGTCACTCATCTTAGTTCATCTCGATCTCACATTTATAATCTACAAAGCGTGATGAATCTCTTACACCCTGTCTACACTTTGCTTATGAAAGGATTGGTGAGATATGTCTGTGATACATTACTCAACGCTGCAAAAACACGTAGAAACCTTTGAAGCTCCCCTGAGCGCAATCACAAGTATGATGATGATCGGCTCAGTCGCACTGGTGCTCCTAAATATGTTTTCATAGTCACACGCAGTAGTTTTCAGTCGCAACTGAAATGGTCGCACTGTCGAGCCCTGTGCAGGTTTAAATGCTTCCTGTGAGCTAAACAAAGAATGTAGAAACAAAAGTCACCTCATCTAAATATTCACAACAAACACCCTTTCAACACAAGACCTACACTTTCACTGCTTCTCCCCACAGCTTCTCAGATGTTTGTATCCCCCAGGATACATCGCCCCTTTCAGGGTTAAAAAAGTCAAACTATTACATCAAACCAAATCTTCTCTGGTGTATCTGCATGTGTTTGATCAGTTCTGCTGTGGTGGGTTAGGATGGTTCTGACTCTGCTTGTGTGTCTTGTAGTGCGGGGAGGTGGTGTTCGAGAAGCGTCACTATGAGAAAGCGCACTGGGCCTGTATCACCGTTCACGAGGACACGTATGAACAGAGCATCTGCTACGGCTTCATGAAGATCATGAGATACATCTGCCAGCAGAACTCAGCAGGTCCATAAACACACTCAACTCAACCAGACTCACACAAACACTCGACTCCTCCTCCAGACTCAGACTAGGGCTGGGCCATATGATAAAACATAAAATCTAGATTATATATTTTTCATGTTAACTGAACTTATAACTAAATCACAATTCAAGTAACATTCTCTTTATGAACCATCAGGGTAAAGAAAGTTCTGTTGCAAGCGTAGCACACGTGAAGTTCAACATGGTGTAAACGTAAAACAAATTCACTTGTTAAATATCTTTGCAGAAAAAAACGATGCATGAAATATGAAGCCAAATATTGTACACGCTGGTCTTAAACATGTCCAGAAATAATATCAAATATGAAAAATGCATAATATTTCTTATCCAAAATGCAGACATTCAGTTTTAGAGGCCCAGACGATTCAAACTCTTCCTGACTGTCAGAGTAACAGCAGGAATATATGATTATTAACAGTGAATGAAAACAGCATCATCAAACATCACATATCAGACACATACAGTAGTACTTCTGCACAGCGTTGCATCGTTTTTTCTGTGTAGAGCTGCGTTTGACTATTGTGTTGTCTCGTATCTTTTGCTCATGAAACAGCATCTAAATACGAGGAGCTTGAGTTAAAGAAGCTCAGCTGGCGTCACAAGCTTGTGTTTTCCCACGTCTGGTGTTTTCAGCACAAATGCATTCTGTGTGAACATCAGCACTAGCAATATGTTCTTCATAGAGCCGATCAGCTGCGTGTCAAACTCTCACTACAGTCTAACGGATTGATTTCTCTCCGCAGACAGTTATCTGGGAATGACGATCCCCATCGTGACAGTGGTGCGCACCGATGAGATGCACACGACTCTGTCGCGGGCCGTGACCGTAGCGTATTACCTGCCCCCCCTGCACCAGAGCGAGCCGCCGCGGCCGCACGACCCAGAGATCACCATCGAGCAGTGGCCTGCAGCTATCATCTACACCCGGTGAGAAACACACAGAAACCACCTGCACCGCTTCCTCCGTTCATTAATACTGACACAAAGCACGATTACAGTAATGCACTTACACTGAAGGTCATGTGGAATGCAAGTACTGAGGAAATGTTAATGTGTAAGTTGCTTTGGATAAAACTAGCATCTGGCGGATGCATCAATGAGTGAAGAACAGCTAATCGTGTATCTGTAAAACCAGTCAACACTGCTTCACATGAACCGTTATCCCCGTTTATCTGCTTTCAAATCTGTATTGTATAAAGCACTATAGAAATAAATGTGACTTGACAATGAATAAATCTCCACCTCTAAATGACAATTCAGACCATTTACAGCTCAAATAACGGTTTTCTTTACAGTTTCATTACATATCATAATTGCATTCAAAAAATTATAATTATAATTCTACTAAAATAAATTCTGAAGATGTTGTTCAGTGATTTTTCTACTTGATTGTGATCATGTATTATAGGTTTTTTAAGTAAACTTTTCGATCTCAGGAATTTCTACTCAGAATATTTCATTTGTATGTATATTCAGTATAAAACAACTCTAGAGGGGCTACTTCTGCTAAATGCATAAATATAAATATATCAGTTACACCTCAATTACAATTTGGATCATTCACAGCTCAAATAATGTTTTAATTAACAGAAACTAGGAGTGATATATAATAATTAAATAAAATGATAAATTCTGCAATTTCAAGAACTGACTGTTTAAATTTATGACTTTTCACTTGTTTGTGATTATGCACTATAGGTTTGTTCACAAGTGAACATTTCCCAGCAATTTCTCCTAAAAATAATTTTATTCGAATGTATATTCATTATAAAAAAATTCCAAACCTATGTTCCCCAAAAGTAGATTGTTGAAAGCACTGCTTTTGGAAAACGCAGCTGCAAGGTCTAGAAATAAGACTTTTAAAAATTCTCTTACATATTATAAAAATGGTTCCTGGTTCTTAATCATCTGAATCCCTCAGACCTACACTGTAAGTGTACTACGGTAAACATGACTAACTGAGGGACGAGTCGCAATGATTTGAACTGGTTTTGAACTTGTGTCTTTCCGGTGTTATGTGACTCAGGCCGTTCACGGGCGCCACTAACGAGCTGACCATCATCCACGAGATCAGCAGTCTGGCCGAGGCTCTGGAGCGTCCGGCCGCCTGCGTCAGCGACTCCTTCATCGTGGCCGGATACACCAACCCCGCGGCGGCCCACCGGCAGAACGAGATCTGGTTCCTGGAGCGGCCCTGAGCCTCCCCTACCCACAATCCTCTGCACCTCTCAAGAGACCGCAGTGGAGCGAGCGCAGGGCGTTACAGCCATCCTGTAGTTCCTGATTCCCCGTCAGCAGAACATGTTTATATGCGTCACACTGATTATAAGCTACACAAACTGGACGTCAATCACTCTGTGAAACACTGTTGCTGTAAGACAATCATCACGTACCTCTCGTCTTCTGTCTGTCTCTCGCTCTAGTAGTGATGATCAACAAATCGATATATAATAGATGCACATATATCTATATATTATATTCTCATAGTGCTATTTTTGTTAGGTATATTTTGAAACTTCTGTTACGAGCACAGATGTCAAACAAACACAATGAAAGAGTTTTCTGAATGAAGTGTCTGACCAGGGCTTGACGGCTGGGAATGTAAACGTTCGTCTGTCCTCAGTATAAACACTACAGCCACTGTGAATTCCTGAATGCTTCTGTTCATATTTCTGTTCTGATCTGAATAAACTATTACTGAACCACACCAGCGCCTTCACGCATGAACTGGTCTGTAACGACAGATGATGATCAATCAGAGCCAACTAAGCTGAATTCACACAGCAGCCAGGAACACAGATCATCATCCACTACACACACAGGATTGCAAAAGGGCAGAATAACTCCAGAAACTTTCCAAAAAGCTTCCAAGAATTTTCAGAAATTCTGGAAAGTTTCCGGAAATTTACCAGAAGTTTTCCACCCTTTTACAACCCTACCTACACAAGACTATCGGCTTTAATTTCATTACATTTATTTGAATGATTAATCTTTTTTTGTAACGGATATATTAGTTTAAAATCTTATGGGGACTTAAGATTTTTTAATTTAGAATTTCTGTGAAATTATGGATATGTGGATGTTTAATTGAAATTATTTATTTATTTGAACGATTAATCATTTTTGGAACTGAAATTTTAACTTAAAATCCCTGGGGGAGTTAAAAAAAATATTATAAACATTATAACATTTTGTAAATAAATATTATATTTATTATGACAGAAACCTTGTGCATCCCTGCAGCAAATGAAGGAGCTGATACGTGGTAAAGCAGAGCTTTCTGAAAGAGATCATGTAAAGAGGCTGTTTCACCAAACATTCCAGCGCTCCGGTGAGACGTGCATAAACCGAGCAAATCTTCATGTGGAGTCCTGCTCAGCGGGAATAAAGCACTGCAGACATGAAGGAGAAATCAAGACGGTCAGACAGCAGTCCAGCAGCGACAACAACCCCCACAAACACAAGCAGATCAGAGAAACACTCTCATATCTCATACTGACTTATCAACATAACTGCTCTGATGAAACATCCTCCAAAACACCAACACAACAACAACTTTTTTGTTCTGAAGTGAACTAATACTGTAAGGATTAATATTGCCATATCAGTTTGAGCCGGATTCAGACCCAGAGAATACTGAACAAGAGGATCGCGCAGAACCTTTGCACGCGCTGATATTGCAAGACATATTAGAGTGGTAACGTAACGTAAACGGGGCTAAATCACGTTTTAGATATGATGCCAACAACCTCTTAAAAATAACTGCATTTATTATGTACAGGTAAGTGCAACGTTAATATGTATTATGTTATTGACGCTACATCGTTTTCTCTGATGAACTCAACCAAGCGTTCTAACACGACCTCGCCCCTCCCCACCCCCAACCATTCGAAGCCGTCTCTCGGTCACCCTGAACAACACACGACAGGTCAAACACACCTTAAAGATCTCCCAGTCTCGTAGCAAAGCTCCACTGACGCTGAAGGACATCATGAGACGTACCTGCAGGTATCGCGTCTGATACTGCGCGAGCGTCTCTCCCGGCGGGACCACGATCTTCTCCAGACTGCGCTGATGGACGTGCGTCTGGACGTCTGGACTGTCCTCCGATCGCAGCTCGATGTGAGAGATCAGCAGATTAGAGATCACCTGCTGCACCGCCTGAAACACACAAACACACGTCTGATACCAAGAGATGCGACTGATCTGATGGACGTCGTCTCACCTCTGCAGCGAATGGGTTGGATTAGTTTCAGCTTTTGTCTTCTCCAGATGTTAACTGATGGACTGGAGTGCTGTGGATTATTGTGATGCTTTTATCAGCTGTTTGGACTCTCATTCTGACGGCACCCATTCACTGCAGAGCATCCACTGGTGAGCAAGTGATGTAATTTCTCCAAACCTCACCTTGAGGTCTCCTCCAGGTGTGGCGCTGAGCGCTAGAACGCGGAACTGCTGCGTTTGGTTGCTCAGCTCACGAATCACCTGCAGAGCGAACACAAGCGATCAGAACTGATCTCCCATCATGCACCGGGCTGTGTCTCAATAAAGCAGGTGAAGCTCTACCTGACAGTACGCGTGGTTCCCGGTGGCCTTGTGTGCCTCGTCGATCACTACACACCTGACATGTGCGGCCGGACAGGAGTTACGGCTCAGATCGTTCACCATCACCTGAGGAGTCAAGAAGAAGACGCGCTTGGCCCTCCAGAGCTCCCGCCGCTGCTGCGCCGCCGTCGAGCCTACAGCAAACACACACCGACATTAGGACTGTGACGAGAAATACATGCGGAGATCTTCTGAATGCATCACGACTCTCTCTGGAATGGATTCTGAGCTTATATTTTAACAGCAGATGGCGCTCTTCTCTAGTTTTTGATCAGATTTGATTATTTTGATGATTATTTTAGGTTCAAGTGTGTGTAAGGATTTGGCTGTTTCTGAAGCATGCAGCACCATCTGCTGTTCACAGCTAAGCTCAGAAGCGACTCGAGAAAGAATCTCATTGAATCATCGTGGTGCATCGGTTTATTTTCCCAGCCCTAACCAACATATGCATCAACATACGCTTAACACAATCCATGCATGATTACAGGTTTCAGCAGTTTATGGACAACCAGCTGGTGAAGAAAATATTTAAATCATATTTAACATTTAAATAATTTAACAAATATTTATAATATTAAACAATACATTTTAAATAATATTTATATAATTGAACAGAACATTACTAAAAAAATAATAATTAATATTATAATTATATTAATATTATTCATTAGAATGACACAATATCACCAAAGAAGGTTATTTATTTATAAACCTGTGATTCTATGCAGTGTCATTTTAGTATCATTGATATACTATTATTGTTTTTATTAATACTTAGTTTTAATTTGAATTTTAGTTGACGTTTTAGTTATTTTGTTGTGCATTTTTGTATTTCTATTTATTTTAAATGGTGTCTATTCATCTTCATTAACTCGGTGTTCTAAAATAACTAAAAGTGTAAACTCATTTTCATTTTTTATGGTTTTAATTGCAGTTGTAGTTAACTATAATAACCCTGCTTCTTTGACATTAAATGGAGTATATATTTATCCACTCCTTTGTAGACCAAGTTAAATTATTAATTTTGAACTCTTCTTTTTGTCATTAAAACCTCTGATATTTGACTGCTTTAATTTTTTTAATAAGTGCTTTAACTCTTAATATGTGTCCCTGCAGCACTGAAGCAGTGTTGAGTCGCTGGGGGATATTTGTAGCAATAGCCAACAATACATTGTATGGGTCACAATTATACATTTCTCTTTTATGCCAAAAATCATTAGGATATT